ATTGTCTGTCCAATCCCTAGTTGAAATATATCGTTATAAATGTTTTGGTGTTCGAGGTCCCCCGCTTCCTCGAGTAGGAAATATCCTACTATAGTTCCGAGATTATAAGCATTAGCTAATGTGAAATGGTGCTCTTTGTTAAAGCAAATGGCACAATTTTAGTTTACATTTTACGTTGCAGAGTAGTTTTATATTGTATATTTTACATTTCACGTTGCATAATAAATCCATACATAACAACATATTATACCAGGCGGTATCAAATTTGCAACAAAGGAATTGCTGATTCATTGCGATTTCAGGACACTTGTTATGAATAATGTTTCCGTATTACACTTTATCAAATTGGTGATCAAGAGAAGCACACCTCGCAATAAAGTGTACTTTAAAAGATGGTATTGGATACAAAAAAAAAAGTAGCAGAACTGGTGAATTGACAAATTGTCGCGTACTGGATTGCTGAAATTTTGCAAAAGGATATTGTATGCCCAGGGTTTGAGATGTGTATGTGTATGTGTATGTGTATGTGTATGTATATGTGTATGTGTGTGTGTGTGTGTGTGTGTGTATGATGGGTGTGTGTGTGTGTGCTGTGTTGTATGTGTGTGCTTGTGTGTACGCGTAGGTCTGCATTTGTATGTGGATGTGTGTATGGGTGTTTTTTTTCAACACTAACATTCATTTGCCCGATAGAGTCTGAAAGGAGAATGCTCTTCGAGTAGCAATCTTTGTAATTCTTCATTCCTCTCCTTGCTTGCTACTACATTCTTTCACTTTATTAATTTTAAAGTCATGTTATTTTGCTTTGAATAAACTGCGCTATCTGATTATTTTTTTGAATTTCCGTTGACTTCCGTAGAATGTCAGAAAAAAATTGAAACACGCAGATTTCACAGTGATTGATTCTTTTTGTCAATCGTTTGGGCGTAAATGAAAGCAGGAAATTCAAATGTTGGAAATTCAAATAAATATGACGGTAGCTCAAATGGTTTTTCAAGTTATAGGGTAGATTGTCTTATTGTGTAATTTTTCTCGTCCAGCCTATTTTGTTGCACATAAACCTGTAAGCGGCTACAAAGTTAGCCAGTGTCAATAACTATCAAGGCTTTAACAGATATCAGCAAGCAAATGAATTCAAAGATGTCAAAAACATCTGGCACTATTCTTTGGCATCTCTATATAATAAGGAAGTCATAAAAACATCGTAGGAAGTATTTTAAAAAAAAAGTTGAAGAAACCTAAACTTAAACAGTGGGAATGAATGTGGTATGTTCCAGCAGCTTGAGTCATATAATCTGGAGTTTTGAACGGATCGGAAAAACATCTTTCCATAAAATGCCGACCGATAATGTCCTCTCACGTAAGTTTGGTTCAACGGTTTAATGGTTGAAATTGAAATGATGTGTTTGGCCTCAATGATCAGTATAAAATATCCTAACTGCTGAGTGACCCGCTGGATTGCAGAGGCAAGGATATTCATGATACAAGTATAGAAAAGCAGAAGTCCCATGCAAAGTTATAAAAATTTGTCACTGCGGATAGCTACAGAAATAATGTACTGATATACAGTGAGGGAAAATACATAGGGAAAATACATTGTATTTCCCGATTTTTAGCTTGGCATGTAATCTGTAATTCAAATGGTTCAAACTATTTCACGAACGTTTTTGAATGGTGCGCACTTCAATGCAAAAAACCTATTTTTGGATATTTTTATATAAACGATCCCTTTGTAACAATAGCATGCACTGACTACAGCAAAGTTATAGCAATAACTGAATAACTGAATTTGCTGATAGCAATAACTACCAACAAATTGTTTTCATATCCTGGAAATATTTTGTCGGTGTACTGTTGTTATAATGTTTGTCGTTTACTTGTTTATTGAAAGCAGAGGTCAAAGGTTAAGACATCAAGAGATTTCAATTTTTCATTTTGCTTGATCCATTGATGTTTTGCGGATTTTTATATTTAACTTGTTGTTGGAGATCAAAAACGAGCCCCATGTTCCGTTCTGCAGGTCATTTTTCTTTATAAATGAGATCTATGATATGGTCGTATTATTGCTCTCTGTAATTCTGTGGATTTCGCGAACTACCGATACTGTATTATTTGATAAAAAACACGAATTATTTATGAACGACGTGGTAAGAGTAAGACTTTTTTTTGTGAAAGCGATGTATAAGTTACAATACCTAAAAAAAGATGTGGAAGAATAAGTATGTAATTCAATAAGTGAGAAGTGCATGTGATCTGTGGATTGTTTCCTTGACAAGAACTGAACTTCCAGTTCTTTTTTTGAAGTTGCTGTTTTCATCTATCGACAGCCTTTTGATCACTTCAATAACTTTGTAAGCGCAAATGTGATCCTAAAAAGTTTCTGCTGACTTTTAAAACAACCGAGCGAAAAGACATTTATTCAATTGAAATTCCAGCCATGTTATATTTGTGCAGCAGAATGGAAGCTGCAGAACAGTGATCGAAAGGTAGTAATTGAGCAGGCTAAGCTTGCTGACGACGAGGATAAGGTGATGCTTGATTTTATGTAGAAAAACAACTGACTAATTAAATGGAGTTTGATGAGTAATGAAAAACAAGTCGCTTTTGAGAAAATTGTTGAGTCTTACGAAATGGAAAATAATTTTAGTGCGAAGTAACAGTTGTCCGTGAAGTAGAAGATGCCTTGGAAATGATGCAACCAGAATCTTGGCAGAATGCCGCCATTAATGGTTCCACGCTGAAACGAGATACTGAAAAGGTGTGGTTATAAATTTTTAGTCTTAAATCATGAATTTATGCTTGTTGAATTTCAAAATGAATTACTTTGAATTGTGCTTGGGTGTTTGTTAAGTATTATGGTGATAAGAGAAAAGAAGGGTAAATACTGAAGACAGGCAAGGGAGTAAAGTAAAAGAGATTACTTGAGTTTAAAATGTACAGTTAGTTCGATTATATCAGTTGGTTAAACATTTTCGCAGAAAAAATTCTTCAGGGAAATGAAGCAATAATAAGGATTTCACTTCTTCCGTTAAATTCCAGTTTCTGAATGAGAACCAGAATCCGTTATCAGTGGAGCAGTTTCGGAAGAAGCTGGCCATTCTGAGTTCACGTTGGAAAAAATATCGAATGCAGCAGGATTTCAATAAATGGACAACATTAAGACATTGGCTTCGTTTACCATCTTTGCGACATCGTTTGCAGGTTAATGATAAGATTGGAGTAATACAGCTAATAAAGAAAGATGATAGTGCACTCAGAGTTTATCCACACTCTGCTGTGATAATTGCAGGTTCTGGAAAAAGATCTGAAAAGTGAAAAGCAATCGCGGCGACACCGGCGACTCTTACATCGTGTGCAACAAGTACAGAATATTCTGCAAACTGTTAGGAAAAAGCTGCAAGATGTTTATGCCGTTTTGCATCGTGAAGGTCAACTTACCAGATTTATTCGTTGTGCATAGCAGAACTTATTTTCAGTGTTTGCAAATCTGTACATTGCTGATGTCAAAACTTTCAGTGACGTTAACTTTAAGGTAATCCTATTCTTAGCCTTGAGATGCAGATAAATTTTTTCAGATATGTGTGTCTTGTTGTCCAAAACATTTTGCATTACCTTTGCGAACGCTTTTAACTAAGATATTTAAGGGTAGCACTTTGTTTCGGAATGACTTTTGAAAGGTATTTTTTCAATTTTAGTCTTTCTACATTTACTAGGCTCAGTTATGAGTACGATGAACTGCAAGACGAAGTTTTAGGTAAATGTTAAATGATTAACATTGTTTCTTCCGGGGACTGTGCTCTTAAATTATTTGCGCCTTTATTATAGAACGCAGTGCTTAATGCTCAGGCCTTTTCGTATTTTTTTTTTTTTTATTAAGAATACTGGCGAGTGTCCATATGTGATGTGGCTTAATAACCATCTTTAGTTGAATATGACGATGTTATCTGATTTCATTTCATTGATGTAAGATCCATTTCATCAGCGAATTGTTCGCTTGATCTGATTATTCTTGATTCTTTTTTCTAAGGCCAATTATTGGATGATGCTTTTTAACTACTCAACTAGAAAATATATCCAGATATCACAAGCACTGATCAAATTTGCATCCGTAACATCTTTAAAGAAAGGAGAGTGATTTAGAAGTATATCATTTGGAAGTTATTCAGGGCTTCGGATGCTTTCAAAGCAAGCATTTTAATGAAGGATTAAACATGTGTTTTAGCAAATATTCCTGATAATGTTTGACAATTGTCAAAAAAAGATGATTCGCAGTATGGATAAAACTGATGATACAATAATAATTAGTTGCATGCGGTAATTTTTCTTGAATAGTAAGCCATACTGATGGAGAGCGACACGAACACAACATTGTAGGAGAAAGTAAAGCTAAACATTCAGAGGGTTTTGAAAAAACAAATATTTCCTTAGTGTTGAAAATTGATTTCTTTCGCTTTATAAAGTTGCAGACGTAATTAATCACTTTCACTTTCATATATACACTTGATAAAACTTTAACATTATTCACTTTATCATTGTCAAATGTCCTTATCGCATTGTCTCTTACAATTTCAATACGTAATGCTTCTTTGAAGGTTGGATCGTTTTGCTATTCCCTGATTGTGATATGTTATTTCGGTGATTTTCTTTTATTTGCAGGAAAGTCGCCGTATTCCGAAACATTGTTACAGAAGCGTTTTGCTGCAGCCATAGATCATAAGCTATTACAATCACGACGACGGTATTCTCCACCAAAATATAATTTGTTGCCAAGCCATCAAGCGAGCAAATGCCATTATTTGCATCGGTTATCATGATTGTAACTGCTACTTGTTGTTATGAAAGGTTCCACCTCTTACCGAAAAATTGCAAATGTGAATTAGAACTGTAGGGGTTATGACTCATGAAATGCAGTCCCTGAATTTGAATTAACTTCATTTTTCCTGTTATTTGTTCTTTTATTTATTTGTTTACTTGTTTATCCATTTACTTATTTATTCATTATTATTATTTATAATCATTGTTACTAATTATTGTCATTATTATTACTCTACTATTTGCTATAATAAATGATAATATAATTAAACGATCGTAGATAGCATTAAACAAGGATGAAGTCTCTTCGGATTATCTTCGGAATTCGAGAATCAGCTTGTCAGTCGTATTGTGCTTGAATAGATGGCTCGAGAGTCTATATTTTAGACTCTGAAATTGCTCGATTGATTATATTCAAGTTTCATCTGGTATTAGACATACTGTGAGGGAAAGTTTGTGGCTAAATGTCGACCTTATTCAATTAACTACAACTCCTCGCAGTTAATTTGTCATTCCATTCTCTTTTCGATCGATTTACTTTAGCGGGGCCATAAAATTTCGAACCCTAATCACTAGATAATTTCTGACGTTGTCTTCAAAATTAACCGTTACTTTGCATTTAAGCTATCAGAATTGTCCATTTGCTCGTTTAGATATTACTTTTGTTAAAATGCGTTACGATTATTTCCTATCTAGTCAATTAATTTAACACAGAAATCTTTTGGTTTGTAAGAGACCATTGCTTGTGTTATGATTCACTCTGTTTTTGTGTGGATTTCTTCAATCGG